ATCATTGCGAGAGCTTGGAGGCATTGTGGGAGGTTGAGTGTCACTGTGGATCACTGCGAGATCTTGGAGGCATTGTGGGAGGTTGAGGGTCACTGTGGATCACTATGAGAGCTTGGAAGCATTGTGGGAGGTTAGAGGAGCTGCAGCTAGCTGAAGGCCCTGGAGGAAGGAGGCCACAGCCCAGTTGTTGATGAACCACTGTCTTACATTACTCATCATTTTCTGTATTGAAGACCAAGGTCAAGAGAACAGTGGAGACACGGACAGCAATAAAAACCTAACAGGGGTTAACCAAAGCTAAAAAATAGGTTATGGCTTTATGAATGAATGAACAGTATGTGCAACCTGCTCTATCTCACCTAGCAATTTATCACAGGGAAACGTCAATGAACTGAAGGGCTTCTGTTCACCCAGACATGTTTTTTATGCTCCACCAATGACTTTATGTACCCTTTAAATTTGACATCCTGCTGCTTAAACTCCTACACAAATATCTGACTTGTTACAGTATAAGTAAAGTACCCCATAACAAGTTGAAAACAAAGTAAGACAAGATGGCGCCTCACGCTCCATAATTGTTACATCATTATTGGCCCTCTTGAAAAATAAAACAAGCAGCCCGCTCAGAGAATATGAAGAAAAACAGCAAACGAGATCCGAGCGAGCAAAAACAAAGAGGAATCGTGCGAGTTTTTACCTCCGAGTAATGTGTTATCTTAATGGTGTTTAAAAATTGTGAAGCGAGAAAAAATGGAGCCTTGCCTGGGAAGTGATCATGTGGTTAATCTAACAGGTGAGGCGGCGTGTAGTTATTACAATGATGGAGCTCAGAGTTTATCAGTGAACACTGGCAAAGACTAAAAATAAATACATAAGAAAGACAAATAGGAGGCGAGCAAACAAAGAGAGAAAAACACAACGTTTTCTAATCAAATCTCTGCCCCGCAGTGTCTCAGTCACCTCCAGTCATTTTTTAGGACATAAACACAGCCAGTTAAAATGACTTTAGTAATTACACTTCATCTCGGCCTTTCCGAGGTATTAAAAAAGAGAAACAGGAGGACGCGTCAGAGAAATAAAAAAAAAAAAGTGGTTTAATCACGATTTTGGCGATTTCTGGAATCCCAACCATTTCTGTTGAACGAGAATAAACATGCTTCCCCCCCACCACCCCACCCCATTTTGCGACAATGGCACATTTATCTCCCGTCATGGCTTCGTTCGGGATTTTATATTCAATAAAACGGTAGTGACTCCTTTTTATTAGAACCTATTGCTTATTCCTGAGTCGTTTGCTGAAAGTGTTGTGTCTTGGCTGTGTTTAATTTGTCATTAGGATTGGTACTGCGGGGTTGGATATATCAGACGGAGATAAGAGACCTAAAACAAATGCGGTTCTTGTCTTCTTCTGTACATACAGGCTGATGAAAATGGGTATTCTTCATCAACTATGACTGGCCATAGATTTCACAGGACAGTTGGGTGTTCTGGCTCCATCTCATCATCTTAACCACTTCCCGCAAATGGACGTACCTGTATGTCCTTGGGTTTCAGTGGTTCTACCAGGATCATGCCTCCTGCCAATATCCACCAGGCTTTACCTAGTGAGGGAGATGTAGACTTGCCCAATATAGGACAGCTGGGCTCTTTCCCACCAATGTCCTCCTGGCTCTCTCCAGGGAGATTCTCCAGACCCCACTTGATCCCTGGACTTGAAATTGTGAATGGCCCCCCCAGCTAAGCCTAGTTAGGACCTTGATGTCTTCACATTGGCTTCTCTAGCATTCCTGCCCCAGTGGCAGAGCCCCTGCACACGGGTCTCCTCCAGCAGGACTGGACCCAAAAAACACTGCACACTGCTGCCCAGGCTTCAGGCTATTTATCGGCTTCTCATTCACTTACTGAGCACACCTCCACAGGGATTGGCTAGAGTCCCATAAATGTTCAGGCTGCATGTTCTGTCCTTCCTCCCACTGTGATTATAGAATCCTCTAGAACAGGGGTCTCCAAACTTTCTAAACAAATTTACTGTCCTTCAGACTTTAGGGGGGCCGGACTGTGGCCATTGGTAGTAGAAAACAGTCAGCTGGAAAAAACAATGCCCAATTGTTGGTGTCATTGGGAAGAATTGTGCCCACCCCACACACACACCTTCCAAACTGCATCAAATAGTGGGTGCAATCAAATTTCACTAGCAGTGGGAGGGTTTTAAAGGGACATTAAATACCAGGAATGCATTATGTACAGAGTGCAGAGTTCAGGAAGGGGGGGTATAAACAGAGTGCAGAGTTTAGGGGTGCGCTACATGCAAAGTTCAGGGGTGTGCTATGTACACAGTGCAGAGTTCAGGGGTGTGCTACACACAGAGTGCAGAGTACAGGGGTGCGCTACACACAGAGTGCAGAGTTTAGGGGTTCGCTACATGCAGAGTTCAGGGGTGCTCTATGTACATAGTGCAGAGTTCAGGGGTGTGCTACACACAGAGTGCAGAGTTCAGGGGTGCGCTACACACAGAGTGCAGAGTTCAGGGGTGCGCTACACACAGAGTGCAGAGTTCAGGGGGGGCACTATGTACATAGTGCAGAATTCAGGGGTATGCTACACACAGAGTGCAGAGTTCATGGGTGTGCTACACATAGAGTGCAGAGTTTAGGGGTGCGCAATGTGCAGAGTTCAGGGGTGCGCTATGTACATAGTGCAGAATTCAGGGGTATGCTACACACAGAGTGCGGAGTTCAGGAGTGCGCTAAACATAAAGTGCAGAGTTTAGGGGTGCGCTACGTGCAGAGTTCAGGGGTGCACTATGTACATAGTGCAGAATTCAGGGGTATGCTACACACAGAGTGCAGAGTTCAGGGGTGCGCTACACACAGAGTGCAGAGTTCAGGGGTGCGCTACACACAGAGTGCAGAGTTCAGGGGGGCACTATGTACATAGTGCAGAATTCAGGGGTATGCTACACACAGAGTGCAGAGTTCATGGGTGTGCTACACATAGAGTGCAGAGTTTAGGGGTGCGCAATGTGCAGAGTTCAGGGGTGCGCTATGTACATAGTGCAGAATTCAGGGGTATGCTACACACAGAGTGCGGAGTTCAGGAGTGCGCTAAACATAAAGTGCAGAGTTTAGGGGTGCGCTACGTGCAGAGTTCAGGGGTGCACTATGTACATAGTGCAGAATTCAGGGGTATGCTACACACAGAGTGCAGAGTTCAGGAGTGCGCTATGTGCAGAGTTCAGGGGTGCGCTATGTACATAGTGCAGAGTTCAGGGGTATGCTACACACAGAGTTCAGGGGTGCGCTATGTACATAGTGCAGAGTTCAGGGGTGTGCTACACAGAGTACAGAGTTCAGGGGTGCGCTACACACAGAGTGCAGAGTTCAGGGGTGCGATACACACAGAGTGCAGAGTTCAGCCATCATCCACAGCTGCTTACCTCTGCATCTCCCCTCCACATCTCACTTTTCTCACTCTTCAGCTCTGACCTCTGTTTGCAACCCCCCCCCCCCCTCCACTGCCCCCCCCCCTCCTTAGACGCTCCAACATCTTTCATATGTCTTACTTTTGTTGTATTGAGCTGAAGCACTCAGCCGGCTCTAGTACCTCCCTGCACACTGTAAGTGGCTTTCCGCATCTCCCACTTGCAGGGAGATCATCCAGTGGGGGTGTCGGCATCTGCACTGCACCCCGGACACCATCCTGCAGTCAGTGGAAGCTGCTCAGAAGATCTAATCAGTGGGAGCCATTGGGAGACATGCTGTAACTTGTAAACACAGAAGCCAGACTTCTGTGTTTACAAGTGATAGTGGTGAGCAGGGAGCAGAGGGCAGGAGCCAGAGGTGGTGGAACTGGGCTCCACCAAGTTCAAGGTAGGGGTGTCGGCATCTGCACTGCACCACGGACACCATCCTGCAGTCAGTGGAAGCTGCTCAGAAGATCTAATCAGTGGGAGCCATTGGGAGACATGCTGTAACTTGTAAACACAGAAGCCAGACTTCTGTGTTTACAAGTGATAGTGGTGAGCAGGGAGCAGAGGGCAGGAGCCAAAGGTGGTGGAACTGGGCTCCACCAAGTTCAAGCTGGGGGTGTCGGCATCTGCACTGCACCACGGACACCATCCTGCAGTCAGTGGAAGCTGCTCAGAAGATCTAATCAGTGGGAGCCATTGGGAGACATGCTGTAACTTGTAAACACAGAAGCCAGACTTCTGTGTTTACAAGTGATAGTGGTGAGCAGGGAGCAGAGGGCAGGAGCCAGAGGGGGTGGAACTGGGCTCCACCAAGTTCAAGCTGAAAAAAAGCCCCGGATATACAGTATTATATGATCTCTTTATATTTAAATACATTCATTTAATGCTGCACTAATTTGTGTTGATTGTATCTGCCTGGAGTTCAATTTTGAAGTTGAACTAAAGGCAAAACGTTTTTTTTTGTGGATAGAGTAAGGGTTTGTTTTTTGCCATCTGTGCCCCATTGGGGAGATTTCCCTTCAATTCCTGTCCAATGTCAAAAACAGGAAGAGATTAGATATTTCTCCAAAGTGAGAGATTCCTTGGAAGTCACCAAAACCAATGTTCCGATTGGAAGATTTCCCCTCTAGTGGGTGACCTCTCAAAACTTATTTTGCTACTGATAATAGTCACCAGGACAGGCAGAGAGGGTGAATCTCCCTAATGGGGGCACAGACAGCAATAAAAGTTTAGTTCTAAGCCCTCACTTTCTTCCAAAACTATAGAGAAAAAAACTTTTGCCTAGAGTTATATTTTAAAGGTCTATAAGTGGCCAATCCTGCTTCTCCTCAGTACTTCATAAATGGGTAGAACTGAACAAGGAAAAAAAAAAAGCTATACTCCCATGATGCTATTGGGGCTCCTACTGTTCTGTTGTTTGAAGACCGTTCCATCAGTAAAGGTGATATAAAGGAAAGGTGGCCACAGACACTCCATGTTCTTGGGTATCCAGTCATCCATATTAGCTGATCTTCCATCGTTAGTAAAAGGACATGAGACCAGGGGCGGACTGACAACTCATGGGGCCCCCGGGCAATAGGGGATCATGGGGCCCCTGTGTCCTTGCCCAAACTCAAAAAAGCCTATGAAAAAGGTACCAGGGGCATCTCATGGGGCCCCCTACTGACCCTGGGGGCAATAGGGGACCATGGGACCCCTGTGTCCTTGCCCAAACTCAAAAAAAACAACTGTTCCAAACAGTTGTTTTGGTCACGCCTAATGTTTTTGCTATCTCTCCGATGGGTTTGTTTTGTTTTTTCAGCCTAACGATGGCTTGCTTCACTGATAGTGACAGCTCTTTGGATCTCATCTTGAGAGTTGACAGCAACAGATTCCAAATGCAAATAGCACACTTGAAATGAACTCTGGACCTTTTATCTGCTCATTGTAATTGGGATAATGAGGGAATAACACACACCTGGCCATGGAAGAGCTGAGAAGCCAATTGTCCCATTACTTTTGGTCCCTTAACAAGTGGGAGGCACATATGCAAACTCTTGTAATTCCTACACCGTTCACCGATTTGGATGTAAATTAAAGCTGACAGTCTGCAGTTAAAGCACATCTTGTTCGTTTCATTTCAAATCCATTGTGGTGGTGTATAGAGCTAAAAATGTTAGCATTGTGTCGATGTCCCAATATTTATGGACCTGACTGTATATATGTATATATATATATATATATATATATATATATTATGTTGAAATGCGTTTTTATTACAAAATATATAATACATTTCAAATATACTATATGTCTTTAAAAATACAAATCTACATTTTTGGAATGCATTTACAAATATATGTCGAAAAATATATGTTAATATAAATATATGTTAAAATGACTTTTTTATACAGTATGTAAAAAAAATCTGAAGAATATATTTAAAAAAATATATATTTTTAAAAACCGGCCTCAAGAAGAGTTATACAAAACAAATTAGTTAAACCCACGACTGTTTTTTTTTTTACCATTACTATTCTTTTATATTGGCTTTTGAACTTTCCAAATGCAACAATTTAGAAATTGGATGAAAGGGAAACACTTTTTGAAAGATAAATAGTTCATTATATATACAGACGTATAGATCAGACCAGGGGCGGACTGATAACTCAGGGGGCCCCCAGGCAATAGGGGATCATGGGGCCTCTGTGTCCTTGCCCAAACTCAAAAAAACCTATGAAAAAGGTACCAGGGGCATCTCATGGGGCCCCCTACTGACCCCGGGCCCTCGGGCAGTGCCCGAATTTCCAAATGGTCAGTCCGCCCCTGCATGAGACTGACAACTAGACGCATATATTGATTGAACGTCTCCTTGCTTTAAATCCATATATCTCCTTTTTTTGGAGTTCATGTTTAAATTGCCGATCTCCCAGAGACTTGCAGGACATGTGCAGACATTAAACATCTTCATTTTTCCGTGTGTATATAAGAAGCCCTTGTGTATTCGAGTAGAATTAAGCAGACGGTTGGTTAGCGGGGGGTTGACAACGGAGGTAGAACTCCAGAACGTTCCTCTTCCCTGTGTTGGGGCCTCTTAGGATCTGGCGTCTGGAGTTCGGTAACAGGAAACGTTGGTGTATACAGTAAATGGTGTTAAAGCAGCTGCATTCTGCCAAGGCTATTAATATATCTTTTTCATGCTGTATTGGAGTATTTCCAACTATATGGTTTTCTTCTTAAAGCCCCATTTTGGGCTGCTGTTAAATTTACTATTGCAATGGATAACCCCAACCGCCATGTTGCATGGGTTAAATCAGGGGCGGACGGACCATTCGAGCACTCGGGTGCCGCCCGAGGGCCTGGGGTCAGTAGGGGGCCCATCCTCCAGCCTAGCCTGGTGAGGGCCTGGGGTCAGTAGGGGGCCCCATGAAATGTCCCTGGTACCTTTTATAGGCTTTTTTGGGTGTGCTTTGAGTGTGGGTAAGGACACAGGGACCTTTCGAGCACTCGGGTGCCGCCCGAGGGCCCGCGGTCAGTAGGGGGCCCAACCTCCGGCCTAGCCTAGTGAGGGCCCGGGGTCAGTAGGGGGCCGCATGAAATGTCCCTGGTACCTTTTATAGGCTTTTTTGGGTGTGCTTTGAGTGTGGGCAAGGACACAGGGACCATTCGAGCACTCGGGTGCCCCGCCCGAGGCCTGGGGTCAGTAGGGGCCCATCCTCCGGCCTAGCCTGGTGAGGGCCCGGGGTCAGTAGGGGGCCGCATGAAATGTCCCTGGTACCTTTTATAGGCTTTTTTGGGTGTGCTTTGAGTGTGGGCAAGGACACAGGGACCATTCGAGCACTCGGGTGCCGCCCGAGGGCCCGGGGTCAGTAGGGGGCCCAACCTCCGGCCTAGACTGGTGAGGGCCCGGGGTCAGTAGGGGGCCCCATGAAATGTCCCTGGTACCTTTTATAGGCTTTTTTGGGTGTGCTTTGAGTGTGGGCAAGGACACAGGGACCTTTCGAGCAATCGGGTGCCGCCCGAGGGCCCGCGGTCAGTAGGGGGCCCAACCTCCGGCCTAGACTGGTGAGGGCCCGGGGTCAGTAGGGGGCCCCATGAAATGTCCCTGGTACCTTTTATAGGCTTTTTTGGGTGTGCTTTGAGTGTGGGCAAGGACACAGGGACCATTCGAGCACTCGGGTGCCGCCCGAGGGCCCGGGGTCAGTAGGGGGCCCAACCTCCGGCCTAGCCTGGTGAGGGCCCGGGGTCAGTAGGGGGCCCCATGAAATGTCCCTGGTACCTTTTATAGGCTTTTTTGGGTGTGCTTTGAGTGTGGGCAAGGACACAGGGGCCCCATGATCCCCTATTGCCCGGGGGCCCCATGAGTTGTCAGTCCGCCCTTGGGTTAAATGCAGGTGTAAATTGAAATACCTTATTTATCAGTCTTGAAGGCTTCCTCCTCTCTTCACAACCAGTCCTGGCTGGTCACTGATTGGCTGGTCTCCGGTGCCATCATGTACAATGCAGGAACAGCAGTCCTGCATTGTACGCGAGGATGACGAGGGTCCAGCCCAACTTCAGAGCGCCAGGCAGCGGAGAAGAGCAAGGAATAAGATAATAACCAATATGTGAAAATAAAAAAAAAAAAATTAATAAAATATAACCACAAATAATTTGAAGTATTATATTAATTATTCTATTTTATTTTCACATATTGGTTATTATTTGAAGTATTGTTGCATAATAGCAGCTCCTACATTATTATTTATTATTATTATTTATTTATATGTACATGCTGTATTTCATGGTACTACATTCCAGGGGCGCGATGATGTAGAATTTGGAATATATCGATATATATTGATAATATGTACCAAGGATTATTATTATCTATAAAGGAATAAGATAAACACTCATAATTACACTTCCCCTTCCCCCCCCCTTCAAGCCAAATGAGCATTGGCATTGGAACCCTGATGCTTGGGTAAATTCAACATCAGCCCGGGATGTGGCTTTACATTTACAGCAGGTGTAAAGCCAGTCGCTAAAACCTCATATAGGCTGGAATATGTTGATGTAATTACAAATGTCCCTTCCAGTATTTTTAATTCTGCAGTTTTTGTTAAAATAAAACCTGGAGATTGTGCCCTGAAGACCCTTGTTGAGTCACCCCCTGTTATAGAGTGACCAATGTTCTGCCCTTGTCTCCAAATTGTTCTTTCGTGTTTGTTACACATAGTTAGTCTGGCTGAAAAAAGGCAAAAATCCATCCAGTTCACCCAAAATAAAAGTTATCATCCTACACCCACAGTTGATCCAGAGGAAGGCAAAAAAAACCCAGCAAAGCACGATCCAATTTGCTCCTGCTGGGAAAAAATTCCTTCCTGATCCCCCGAGAGGCAATCGGATATTCCCTGGATCAACTTTCCCTATAAATGTTATATCCAGTTATATTCTGTGTATCCAAGAAAGAATCCAGGACTTTCCTACAGCGATCCACTGAGCTGGCCACAACCAACTCTTGAGGGAGTCTATTCTACATTCTCACAGCTCTTACTGTGAAGAAACCTTTCCGTGTTTGGAGATTACATTTCTTTTCCTCCAGACGTAAAGAGCTCCCCCTTGTCCTCTGTGATGACCTCAGAGGGAATAACTACACCGAGTTCACTATATGAACCACTGATGTATTTATACATGGAGATCATATCCCCCCTTATGTATTATACATGGAGATCATATCCCCCTTATGTATTATACATGGAGATCATATCCCCCCTTATGTATTATACATGGAGATCATATCCCCCCTTATGTATTATACATGAAGATCATATCCCCCCCCTTATGTATTATACATGGAGATCATATCCCCCCTTATGTATTATACATGGAGATCATATCCCCCTTATGTATTATACATGGAGATCATATCCCCCCTTGTGTATTATACATGGAGATCATATCCCCCCCTTATGTATTATACATGGAGATCATATCCCCCCTTATGTGTTATACATGGAGATCATATCCCCCCTTATGTATTATACATGGAGATCATATCCCCCCTTATGTATTATACATGGAGATCATATCCCCCTTATGTATTATACATGGAGATCATATTCCCCCCCCCCTTATGTATTATACATGGAGATCATATCCCCCCTTATGTATTATACATGGTGATCATATCTCCCTTTATGTATTATACATGGAGATCATATCCCCCTTATGTATTATACATGGAGATCATATCCCCCCTTATGTATTATACATGGAGATCATATCCCCCCTTATGTATTATACATGGAGATCATATCCCCCCTTATGTATTATACATGGAGATCATACCCCCCTTATGTATTATACATGGAGATCATATCCCCCTTATGTATTATACATGGAGATCATATCCCCCCCCCTTATGTATTATACATGGAGATCATATCCCCCCCCCCTTATGTATTATACATGGAGATCATATCCCCCCCTTATGTATTATACATGGAGATCATATCCCCCTTATGTATTATACACGGAGATCATATCCCCCTTATGTATTATACATGGAGATCATATCCCCCCTTATGTATTATACATGGAGATCATATCCCCCCTTATGTATTATACATGGAGATCATATCACCCCTTATGTATTATACATGGAGATCACATCCCCCCCTTATGTATTATACATGGAGATCATATCCCCCCTTATGTATTATACATGGAGATCACATCCCCCCCTTATGTATTATACATGGAGATCACATCCCCCTTATGTATTATACATGGAGATCATATCCCCCCTTATGTATTATACATGGAGATCATATCCCCCCTTATGTATTATACATGGAGATCATATCCCCCCTTATGTATTATACATGGAGATCATATCCCCCCTTATGTATTATACATGGAGATCATATCCCCCCTTATGTATTATACATGGAGATCATATCCCCCTTATGTATTATACATGGAGATCATATCCCCCCTTATGTATTATACATGGAGATCATATCCCCCCTTATGTATTATACATGGAGATCATATCCCCCCTTATGTATTATACATGGAGATCATATCCCCCCTGATGTATTATACATGGAGATCATATCCCCCCTTATGTATTATACATGGAGATCATATCCCCCCTTATGTATTATACATGGAGATCATATCCCCCCTTATGTATTATACATGGAGATCATATCCCCCTTATGTATTATACATGGTGATCATATCCCCCCTGATGTATTATACATGGAGATCATATCCCCCCTTATGTATTATACTTGGAGATCATATCCCCCTTGATGTATTATACATGGAGATCATATCCCCCCTTATGTATTATACATGGAGATCATATCCCCCTTATGTATTATACATGGAGATCATATCCCCCCTTATGTATTATACATGGAGATCATATCCCCCCTTATGTATTATACATGGAGATCATACCCCCCCTTATGTATCATACATGGAGATCATATCCCCCTTATGTATTATACATGGAGATCATATCCCCCTTATGTATTATACATGGTGATCATATCCCCCTTATGTATTATACATGGAGATCATATCCCCCTTATGTATTATACATGGAGATCATACCCCCCTTATGTATTATACATGGAGATCATATCCCCCCCTTATGTATTATACATGGAGATCATATCCCCCCTTATTTATTATACATGGAGATCATATCCCCCCTTATGTATTATACATGGAGATCATATCCCCCTTATGTATTATACATGGAGATCATATCCCCCCCTTATGTATTATACATGGAGATCATATCCCCCCTTATGTATTATACATGGAGATCATATCTCCCCTTATGTATTATACATGGAGATCATATCCCCCCTTATGTATTATACATGGAGATCATATCCCCCCTTATGTATTATACATGGAGATCATATCCCCCTTATGTATTATACATGGAGATCATATCCCCCTTATGTATTATACATG